CAGATAGAATATTTGTTCTTTCAGTCTTGATATTTATATGATGAAATTATTTGTAAGCAATGTTTTTCAGTAAGGAATGTATGATGGCAAAACAGATTCTGGGCCTCGACCTCGGCATAGCGTCGATCGGATGGGCCGTTACAGAGGGACAGCTGGAGAGAGAAAACGATATCCGGCACTGCGGCGTGCGGATTTTCAGTCCCGGAATGAAAAATACGACGACAGGATATGAATCGCCGACTGCCCAGCGTCAGCAGAACGGGCGGCGCGGCGGCTCTGTCTGCGGCGGCGGCGGCGGAAACAGAGTCTGCTGCGCGTGCTGATCCGGGAGCGGATGTGCCCGCTCAGTGAAGGAGCGTTTCAGAGCTGGGCCGAAAAAGACCGCAGAGAGGGCGGCGGCTATCCGTCCGAGCCGGCTTTTCTCGACTGGCTGCGCCTGAATCCCTATCAGCTGCTTCCCGTGCTGTCCAGGAGAAGCTCGCCCCCGAGGAACTCGGCCGGGCGCTCTATCACATCGCCCAGCGGCGGGGCTTTAAGAGCAACCGGAAGGATGCCGACCAGGGCAAGGATATTGAACTCGACCAGGACAACCGCAAGAAAATGACCGAAGCCGGCGCGAAGAGCTGCGGCGACTATCTCTACCAGTGTCTGCTCCGGAATGAGCGGGAGGGCCGCCGGGGCGAATACGTCCGTCTGCGGCGCGACGGCAGCGACAACTCGGTCAACTCGTCGCGCCCTGAGCTACGAGAGCGAGCTTGAGCAGATCATCAAAACCCAGGGCCTCGCCGGAACCAGGCTCGCAGACGAACTGCGACGGATTATCCTGTTACAGCGGCCGCTGAAATCGCAGAAACACACGGTCGGCAAGTGTGTGCTGATTCCGGAGAAAACGCGAAGTCCGATCTCGACCGTCGAATATGAAGAATTTTGTCTCTACCAGGTGCTGAATAATCTCCGCGTCACCGAAGAGCAAGGAAGCCGAATAGAGCCCCGGCCCCGGCCCCTGACCGGGGCCGAAAGAACCGAGGCGCTCAGCTGCTTCCTGCGCAAGAGCAGGCCGACCTTTCCGGCAGGGGACATCGCCAAAAAACTGCAGAAGTGCAACAAGGACCGGAGCCTGCGGATCAACTACCGCGACAAACAGACGCTGGCGGGCTGCCCGACCATCAGCCAGTTTGCGGCGCTGTGGGAGAGGACTGGCGCTGCGAACTGCCGAAAGCCTACAGCAGAAAGCAAGGCGCAAAGAGTGGCGCGGCAAAGAGTGACGAAGAGCTGATCCACGATGTCTGGCATGTGCTCTCCTTCTTTGAAGATGAAGGCAGGCTCAGACAATGGGGGGAAGCAAAATCTGGGTTTAAGCGACAAAAAGGCGGACGAATTTGCCGGCATCCGTCTCAAAGAGGGCTACGGCAAACTGAGTTTGCAGGCCCTGCGCAAGATCAACCCGTATCTGCAACGCGGCTTCGGTTATGACAAGGCCGTCGCGCTGGCCAATCTGGACCGGGCCTGCTCTCCGGGCCTGTGGGCGGACCGCAGCGCCGACATGGAAGCGGCAGTCATTGAGGGTCTGAAGGCCGCCGACGAGGAGCACCGGCGCGTGCGACGCATCAACGATGAGATTGAAGAGCGCCGCTGGATGCAGGGACGCAGGGTTATTGTCCCGGGGGACCCGGCGGGGCGGCGGACCTGAGCCGTAAAGAGGCTTTTTTAAAGCCTAAGAACCGGACCACGATTCTGCGTGAGCACCTTGACTCACTCGGCTTCACGGATCGAGATATCGATATCGGCAAACTCTGGCACCACTCGGCGATCGACATGTTCCCCAAACTCCCGGAAAACACCAGTAAACTCGGCGATCCCAAAAATGACGCAATCCGGAACCCGCTCGTGATGCGGGCCCTGTATCAGCTGCGCCAGCTCATCAATGAACTGATCCGCTCGGGCCGGGTCGACCGGGAGACCGAAGTCATCGTTGAGGCGGCAGGGGAACTGAACGACAACAACCAGCGCCGCGCGATTGAGCAGTACCAGAGAGCGCGCGAAAGGGAACGCAGAGAGGCCCGCGAAAAAATTGAGGAACAGCTTGAAAGGGCCGGCCAGCGAGACCGAAATCATCCGCTATCTGCTGTGGCGAGAGCAGGAGCAGCGCTGTCTGTACACCGGCGCTCAGATCGGCCTGAAGGACGCGCTGGACGGGACCAGGTACGACATCGAACACACATGGCCGTTGTCGCAGACCTTTGACGATTCGCTGGAGAACAAGACTTTGTGCGCGAGCGACTTCAACCGGAAGGTCAAGATGGGCAAAACTCCGGCCGAACTGTGCGCCGAGGGCCTGCTGAACGCCGACGAGCTCAAAAAGCCGCCTTCAGAACTGGGAAGAGAAAATCGCTGGGCTGGAAAACCGGATTGAGATGCTGAAGAGCAAGAGCAAAAAGTCCATCGGGGCGGTCAAGGACCGCGCGATTCAGGACCGCCATATCGCCAGGTTGCAGCTGAATTACTGGAAACGCAAGAATGAAAAATTCTTGCTGAAAGAGATTCCGAGTGGTTTTACCCGCCGCAACCTGGTCGACACGCGCATCATCGCCAGGTACAGCCGCGCCTACCTGAAATCCTATTTTGACAAGGTTTACACGGTCAACGGTTCGCAGACGAGCCAGTTCCGCCAGAAAGTGCTGGAGCTGCCGAAAGAGAAGGACCGCAGCCAGCACGGCCATCACATGATCGATGCGCTGACGCTCTGTTTCCTCGAACCTTTTCTGCTGCAGAAGCAGGGCAAGGAAGAAGACCTGCGGCATTTCTACCGTCTACTGGAGCACCGGGAGTACTGTAGCGATGCCGAGCGCTACCGGATTGACGAGAAGCTTCCGGCACACCGGCAGAAGCTGCTCGGCTGGCAGGCGGGACAGGCCCTGCCGGAGCTGCTGGCCCAGCTGCGCAGCCGGGTGCTCATCAGCCACGACTACCGCGAGCGCAGTTTTGTCCAGGGAGGTCTGCACAAAATCGGGAAAAACCGAACGGCCCGCAGACGCTGCATCGGGGTCCGCGGACAGCTCCACCAGGATACCGTCTACGGAAAAATCAAAGTCCCGGAACTCGACTCCGAGGGCAAAGCGAAGTTCGACGAAAACGGGCACGTGATTCCGGAAAAAGAATGCCGGTTTGTCAAACGCCAGGCTATACACACAATCCTGCTGGATTTGCAGCCGTCTTCCCAGTGAGAAGGCTAAAGAGAAAACTCTGAACAAAGTCGTCGATGTATGGCTCCGAGGAGAACTGTCCAGGCTGGCCGCAGAACCGGAGCGGCTGGCCGAGGTCCTGAAAGAGACCGGTGCCGGCCGGCCCTGGTACTTGAGCAGTTCCAGAGGGGTAGAGCTTGCCGTGCGCAAGCTCCGCTGCTTTGATCCGGGCCGCTACCGAAAGGTCAAGGCTCACCAGCCGATCGGCTCCAGTCTGAAGCGGGAACGGCATGGGTACAAACAGTACATTTACACAAACTACGGCAACAATCACCATGCCCGTATCTACCTGGATACCGAAGGCAAGATACAAGAGGAGATGGTCAGCCTCTTTGAAGCGGCGCGGCGCTACCGGGCCGGAGAACCGATTCTACAGTCCTGTGGGATCTGGCGAGGAAACTATCTGCATCCTGTCCGGCGGCGCTCTGTACCTGCTCGGCCTTTCTCCCGGGAAAGACTGGCAGAGTATGAGCGCCGTTGAGCTGCACCGGCACCTGTTCTATGTACAGAAGATCTCACACAGAGATTACTACTTTGTGCGTCATGACCGAGCCCGGGGCGAGCAATCCGAATACCAGAGTTCTTTCGGCGGTACCGAACCATTTCTTAGACTGACAAATCTGAAGAAGTTCGCTAACTACTGTCCGATCCCTGTACGCTGTAGTCCGGCAGGAGATTTACTACCGGCCGAGACGCGATGACACTGAAGCGGACCCTCTACTTTGGGAATCCCTATTATCTCTCATTCCGGAAGCGGCAGCTGTGTTACCGCGCCCGGGATGGGAGCGTAGAGGATTCCTGCCCGATCAGCGATCTCGCGGTCCTGATCATCGACCACCCCCAGATCGGACTCAGTGTACCCTTACTAGCGGCACTGGCTGAGGCGAACGTCGCCGTAATTTTCTGCGACCGCCAGCACCTGCCGCTAGCCCAGGTTTTGAGTCTGCGCGGGCACAGTCTGCTCCAGAAGCATCAGCAGGCCCAGATGGGAGCGAGCACTGTGCTGAAAAAACGTCTATGGCAGCAGACTGTCCAGGCCAAGATTGCCAATCAGGCCAACTACTTGAGGATTGGCAGCGGGACGCCAGTCTACTGCACCGCTTGCGGCGGGAAGTCAAGAGCGGCGACAGCGATAACCGGGAGGGACGGGCGGCCCAAGATTATTGGCCGCGGCTCTTTGGTCCCGGCTTTGTGCGTCTGATGCACGAAGATTTTGCGCCAGCTCCGCGCCGGACCTCCATTGCGCTGGACCTGGCGGAGGAGGGAGCCGGAAGCCGAAGAACCGGAAGGAGAAGCCGGAGAAGAGGGGGCTCCAGCGATGGAAAGCGGAGCCGAAGCCTGGCGCAGCGAGAATTTTTTGCTGAACTACGGCTATGCCGTGCTGCGGGCGGCAACGGCGCGCAGTCTGGTCGGCAGCGGTCTGCTGTTGAGCTGCGGCATTCACCACCACAATCAGTACAATGCCATGGCTCTGGCCGACGATATTATGGAGCCTTACCGGCCGTATGTTGACGCGGCGGTACTGGAGCTGCTGGCCTGCGAACCGGACACTGGCGGGAGCGCGGAAGGTGCCCGGCGGGCCAAACGTCAGTTGTTGCAGATGCTGGCCTGCGATGTGGCGATAGGGGAGGTCAAGCGTCCGCTGCTCAATGCACTGAGCATCAGTTCGGCCTCGCTGGTGCGCTGTTTCCTCGGCGAGGAGCGCCGCATCACCTATCCCAGGTTCTAGCAACGAATGGAAGACGCAGGCAGCGGGCCATGGGCAGAAAGAAACGCGGAGAGAAGGGCAACAGTTTTGCCGTACTCAACAGTTATAAAATCATGTGGCTCTTTGTCAGTTTTGACTTACCGGTGGTAGCTGTTGAAGAGCGTCGCGCTGCGACGCAATTCCGCCATTTTCTGCTGGAAGAAGGTTTCTGGATGCATCAATACTCGGTATATACCCGTCATTGCAGCAGCAAACAGGTTTCCATGCAGCTGACCAGGCGCATTCGACGTGCAGTACCCCCGCAGGGTCATGTGTCGATTCTTGAAGTGACCGACCTGCAATACAGCAATATTGTCAATATCTGGGGTCGTAAGCCCAAACAGCTCAAACCGGCCCTGCGGCAACTGGAATTATTTTAGAATTGAAAAAATGGCCCGGCACCCCTGTAGTTCCTGCCCACCTGCCCCGTTTTTTACAGGAACAAGTGGACTTAAATTATTTACCTGGAACTATTTCCCAAGAGCAACTATATCACAATCGGGAAAAATATCAAATCACAGCAAGAGTCAGTGGAGATTTTTCCGCCGGATACTATATCACAATCGGGAAAAATATCAAATCACAGCCGCCTGAGCGAACAAACTGCCGACCCATAACTATATCACAATCGGGAAAAATATCAAATCACAGCTTGGGACAGTCGCCACGATAACTGCTGATGACTATATCACAATCGGGAAAAATATCAAATCACAGCTGTAATGGCGCTCTCAGAGATAGAAGCGATACTATATCACAATCGGGAAAAATATCAAATCACAGCGACGAAGAAAGGTATTCCCAATTCGTCGCAACTATATCACAAATCGGGAAAAATATCAAATCACAGCTTTAATTATCGCCGTGAAGCTCAGAAACTACTATATCACAATCGGGAAAAATATCAAATCACAGCGACGAAGAAAAGGTATTCCCAATTCGTCGCAACTATATCACAATCGGGAAAAATATCAAATCACAGCTTTAATTATCGCCGTGAAGCTCAGAAACTACTATATCACAATCGGGAAAAATATCAAATCACAGCACAATATGATTGCCCCTGGCTTCGTGCAGCACTATATCACAATCGGGAAAAATATCAAATCACAGCTTGCAGCTAACTTGTGGGCCACTATCCCTTACTATATCACAATCGGGAAAAATATCAAATCACAGCAGAGCGTAGTTTTCTCCGTCTTGGCTTACGACTATATCACAATCGGGAAAAATATCAAATCACAGCCGCAGAAAAGCTATTGATATAACGGGGCGGACTATATCACAATCGGGAAAAATATCAAATCACAGCCATACAAGACCTTTGGTTTATACAGTAATCACTATATCACAATCGGGAAAAATATCAAATCACAGCAGAAACCATCCAGGATTCAACATGGGAGGCACTATATCACAATCGGGAAAAATATCAAATCACAGCTATATCAATAAGGGATTAAGTATATGGGTACTATATCACAATCGGGAAAAATATCAAATCACAGCGAGATCCCCGACATTATGGCTGGCCTGAAAAACTATATCACAATCGGGAAAAATATCAAATCACAGCCAGAAGCATATATAGCGTATACAGTTCGAACTATATCACAATCGGGAAAAATATCAAATCACAGCTGAGTTCCGAGAAGTAAGCGGCGGGCTGCGACTATATCACAATCGGGAAAAATATCAAATCACAGCTGCCACAGGGGACATCTGGCCAAGAATTAACTATTATCACAATCGGGAAAAATATCAAATCACAGCCGTAGAATGATTCTCTGCTTGCCTCAGTGAACTATATCACAATCGGGAAAAATATCAAATCACAGCACGCAGTGAGCCCCTGCAGTTAAGAGAGTGACTATATCACAATCGGGAAAAATATCAAATCACAGCAGAGGGAGAAAGCCGAGACAGCAGCGGTTAACTATATCACAATCGGGAAAAATATCAAATCACAGCTTTTACTAAGCCGGCCTTAGAGGGGACCTAACTATATCACAATCGGGAAAAATATCAAATCACAGCCGCTGAAACCGCCGGCCGGCAGCTATTACAACTATATCACAATCGGGAAAAATATCAAATCACAGCATTTCCAGCTGAGAGAACCGGTAGAAACAGACTATATCACAATCGGGAAAAATATCAAATCACAGCGAGCTGTCAACCTGCGGGGAAGGCTTTGGCACTATATCACAATCGGGAAAAATATCAAATCACAGCCGTTTTCTTTTGGTCATACAGGCTCCTTTGTACTATATCACAATCGGGAAAAATATCAAATCACAGCTGTCGCGCTTCGCGGCAGCGCTGCTCTGCGACTATATCACAATCGGGAAAAATATCAAATCACAGCGCCGGAAGATCGTAACGCTTCTTCAAGCCTAACTATATCACAATCGGGAAAAATATCAAATCACAGCTAATGAGAGTCATGCCTTGCCTTCGGCGCCACTATATCACAATCGGGAAAAATATCAAATCACAGCGTGTTCCCAATGCCCCACGCCCAGCGACTACTATATCACAATCGGGAAAAATATCAAATCACAGCTGCCAGATCCTGCTCTACTGAAAATGAAGTACTATATCACAATCGGGAAAAATATCAAATCACAACATCATAGCCGTGCTTTGTTCCATTCTCTCATACGGCCCAGGACATCGACACCAATCTGGTCATATACTGATAACAGATCGACCAGCACCCAGTTTTCTCGAATCAGCTTCCCTTCGACTCGCCAGAAGTCCAGGCTGCGCATTGTGATGTGCTGATTCCCGGGGGCGATCCCCAGCCAGCCCGAACCGGATATGGTCATGTACATGCCCGGCCATGCGGTAAATCCCACATAGTTTCCGTCAGCAAAAGCATGCCCCGCATGGGGGTCGCCCACCCGGTCGGGCATCCCATTCAGAAATGGAATCTGATGCCAGTTCCGAAAACCGGTAATGCCTCTGGCCGTGCCTATCCCTGCCGGTCCATACCACGAGCATCGAGGATGCCAGTACTCATCCAGGCGCATCGCTGCCACGCCGCCTGTGGCGTAATTCCCCAGTGCATCACACATATCCAGTACAATGCTGCGGGCCGTTGCCGTCAACGCAGGGTCGCATTCCGTTAAGCAGATCCCGTCCAGACTTGCCGGGCCCGGCACATGCCATTCCCGACCCAGGCTCGGCACCATCGGCCAGGCCTTTGCCTGCATCATCAGTTCCGGAATATCCCAGACTCCCTGATATTCTGTTACCTGATTTTCCTCAAATCTGTAAAACTCATGGAATCGCATTGCGGCCATATGGCCTGTCGCCGGTATATCCAGCCAGGGCCCGGCAAAGGTCCCACAGTAATACCCGCAGCATCCCACCCAGTCATGGCCGGCCCCGGTAGTACCCGATATGATAATCGTATCCCTGCGCTCTAAATCGGGGAAAGCCCTGAATAAAGGCAATATCCCGTGTTCAAATAATCCTTCCGCACCGGATAAGTCTTCAAAAGGAAAACAGAGTTGTACTCTGGCATCTGCTCTCAGCAGGCTTTGCAGATTCGCCTTCACTGCAACAGGATCGAAATTATATTGTAACTGGCTTAACTGATGGATTTTCTTTTTGTTGGCAAGCAGCAGGGCGGACACGGGTTTTATCCTTTCAGGCATATTGCAGCCACATTATCTGCTTGCGATGCCGTACCGTCAACAGATATGCAGCATGGCCCGGGAACCTCAACGGCCAAATCCCGTAACCATCCGGGTTTTTTCCTGTTCGGTATTGTAGACGTGCACATCCATTTGCGCAAAAGGAATGGTAATGCCCGCCGCTTTGAACTGGCGCCAGACCTCCATGTAGAACCAGTGGGTGGCCAGACGGAATACGTCAATATTCTCAATCATCATGCGCGCTTCAAAATTAACGGCAGAAGCACCAAAACTGGTCAGCCAGATGTCGTTGTCGCCGGCAAACGTCCGGCTACCGGAGGGGCTATTGAGCGGCCGGTTCAGGGGCGGCGACTCCTGAGGCGGGAGTCGCCGTTGTGCTGTGCCGCCGGGCATCGTTTCCTCTGTTTCGGGAACAGCAGCCTCCCTGGAAGTGGGCCGGAGAGCTCCAGCCCGTTGAGGCGGCAACGGGAACGGCTGGGGCCGGTAGGGGTTACGCCCTAAAATCTCCCGCAGGATCTGCTCCACCTGCTCCAGGTCGCTCTCATAAGAAACTCCTACGGGCAGGTGCAGCTGTACCATGCGGTTGTTGTTGTACGAAGCATTTTCGATGATTTCATTGAGCAGGTACTGATTGGGAATAATCAGATTTTCGTACTCTGTAGTCAGCAGGATCGTGCTGATGAGGCCGATGTGCTCCACGGTACCCAGGGTGGTCCGGGTGCGCACGAAGTCGCCATGCTGAATGTTCCCGTTGATCAGCAGGGTGATGCCGGAGACAAAATTTGCCGCCATATTCTGCAGGCCAAAACCAATACCCAGACCAAAGGCCCCAGAATGACTCCCAGGGAAGTCAGGTTGATACCAACCAGATTGATGCCGAAGAGGCAGAAAACCACAATCAGTACATAGTGCGAGAGCGTCATCAGTGCCTGAAGATTGTTTTTATACAGACGGCGGCCCGGATTCTGACTGCGATCCAGGTAAAGCCCAAGCAGTTTAATACAGGCCCCGGCCATGCGGCTGGCCAGAAAAAAAATGGGCACCAGCAACAGCAGCGCCAGCAGGCTGGGGCTGCTCTCTTTCCCAAACAAAGGGCTGGTAAATACTCTGCTGAAGCTGAGCAGACTCTGGTTGAACTGCGGCAGCATCCGGGCTATCGGCTGATACAGGGCCACCAGATAAAAAAGCCAGCTCAGATGCCGCCAGGTTACAATCCAGTAGTCCTTGATTCTGCCTTTGCGATGCAGATGTCGCAGCAGCAATGCGGCGGTATGGTAGAATACAATCAGCAGGAGCAGGGGCAGGACCCCGGTCAGGAGCAACTGCAACAGCTGGGACTGGTCAATTGAGTATAGTAGATTCATGGTTGCGCTTTACATGATCCGGGAGCAGACTGAATCCTGCTCCCGATGGCTTCTGTGCTCTGGTTTTCGTTTTACTGGAGCGCCGTGGCGTTTTTCGCGGCAGCTTTCTTTGCTGCGGTCTTCCTGGCCGCAGCTTTCTTTGCGGCAGTCTTCTTTGCTGCGGTCTTCCTGGCCGCAGCTTTCTTTGCGGCAGTCTTCTTTGCTGCGGTCTTCCTGGCCACAGTTTTTTTGCAGTGGTTTTTTTTGCGGCCGTCTTTTTTCGGGCCACTTTTTTCCTGGGGGTTGTGTCGGGCTCCTCTCCCGGTAGAGGCCTGGCATTACGGCATTTCGGGTAGCCGCTACAGGCCAGGAACGGGCCGCGACGACCCATTTTGACCTGCATCTCCGAACCGCATTTCTCACAGACTTCGCCCCTGATTCTGGGCAGGAACACGATATTGCCCTCGGCATCCAGCGGATGGGTGTTTTTGCAGTCAGGATAGCTGGAGCAGGCCAGGAATTTTTTACCAAAGCGTGATGTTTTGACCAGCATGGGTTTGCCGCAATCTTCGCAATCGTGATCAATTTCGGGCAGGTCTTCTTCACTGCCATCCTGGGCGATGGATTGCGTCGTTCTGCACTCAGGGTAGCCACTACAGGCCAGGAATTTCTGACCGAAACGCGAGGTTTTCACAATCATCAGGCGACCACAGTTGGGGCAGTCCACCGGCTCCTGTCCGGCACTGCTCTCGCCTTCACCAGGCATCGGGCGCAGGCCTTTGCAATCCGGGTACTGGCTGCAACTCAGAAAAGCTCCGTTACGCGAATAGCGCAGCACCATGCTGCTCTGACACAGCGGGCAGGTTTCCGACCCTTCATAGGGCCGGCCCTTCAGGGTTTCAGCGTGCTCCGAAGCGTAGACTACCTGCTCGTGGAACTTGCCGTAAAACCCTGTCATTACCTGGACCCAGTGGATCTGGCCCTGCTCGATCTTATCCAGATCCTGTTCCATCCCAGCCGTAAAACGCAGATCCATGATGTCGGGGAAATTTTTTTCCAGTACCTCGGTCACGGCAATGCCGAGCTCGGTCGCCCGGAAAGAGCGCTGTTCCAGGGCAACGTAGCCGCGCTCGCGAATGGTTCTGATAATCGGTGCATAGGTGGAAGGGCGGCCAATACCCTCTTTCTCCAGGGCCTTGACCAGCCCGGCTTCGGTATAGCGGTTTGGGGGTCTGGTAAAGTGCTGGGCGGGCTGGAGCTCTTTTTTCTCCAGCAGGCTGCCCGCAGCGATGTCGGGCAGCAGTTGCTCGTCGGTGGTGGTTTTTTCAGTTTCAGCAGTCCCTGTGGCCGTTTCCGCCTGCTTCGTGCCGGCATTCGTCTTACTGGTACGTGCTCCGGTGCTGTTATCGTTCCACAGGCGGGTAAAGCCGTCAAAAATCATGATGCGGCCCCGACTTTCCAACAGGCCGTCCGCCGTGTCGGAGTCTGCGCTGCGCGCACTGATGCGGAACGTGGTCAGAGCGTAGCGGGCATCGGACATCTGCGAGGCCACGAAGCGATTCCAGATCATGGTGTAGAGGCGGTGGCTGTCGCGCTCCAGGTAGGGACGCAGCAGCTCCGGAGTCAGGGCCACGGAGGTGGGGCGGATGGCTTCATGAGCATCCTGGGCATTGGCCTGTGAGCCGAATACGCGCGCTTTGGGCTCCAGGTAGTGCCCGGGAAAATGAGACTCAATATAACTGCGCAGCTCCGCAATCGCTTCCGGTTCGATGCGGGTCGAGTCGGTCCTCATGTACGTGATCAGTCCCACCGGGCCATCATTGCCGATCTCCACGCCCTCGTAGAGTTTCTGGGCCAGGCCCATGGTGCGCGAAGGCCCGAAGCTGAACATGTTGCTGGCACTCTGCTGCAGGGTCGAAGTAATAAACGGGGCAGGTGCTTTGCGCCGGGTTTCCTTCTTTTGCACTTCTTCCAGCGTGTAGCAGGCGTTGTCCAGTACGGCCAGCACCTTCCGGACTTCTTCTTCACAGGAGGCCGCCTTGCGGCCGAGCGCAAACCGCTCGCCCCGCCACTGCGTCAGCTCGGCAGAAAACTGCGCGGCCCTGCCGGTCGTTTCCGTTCCTTCCAGGACCGCCAGCAGTCTCCAGTACTCTTCGGGTACGAAGGCCCGAATCTGCTTTTCGCGCGCCACGACCAGGCGCACGGCCACAGATTGTACACGCCCGGCAGACAGGCGCATTGCCACTTTCTTCCACAGAAACGGCGAAAGCTCAAACCCCACCAGACGGTCCAGCACCCGGCGGCCCTGCTGGGCATTGACCAGGTCCATATTGATACTGCGTGGCCGGGCAATGGCTTCCTGCACCGCTTTTCTGGTAATGGCTCCGTAGCTGACCCGGTGCACCGGTTTGTCGTGGACTTCCAGCAGTTCGGCCAGATGCCAGGCAATGGATTCCCCCTCCCGGTCCGGGTCGGGAGCCAGAAAAATTTCGGAAGCCCTGGCGGCACAGGCCTTGAGTTCCTGCACGGTTTTTTCTTTGCCGGGAATGATCTGGTAATCGGGCCGGAAGTCGTGCTCCACATCAATGCCCAGACCCTTGCGCGAGTTGCCTTTCTGCGGGAGGTCGCGTACATGGCCCACCGAAGCTTTAATCTGGAATTCAGAGCCCAGGAATTTGCTCAGGGTTCGGGCCTTGGCCGGGCTTTCCACAATCAGCAGTTTTTTGCCCGCCGGAATGCTGGTACTGAGTCGGGCCGCACTGGTTTTCCCGGCAGCTGTTTTCGTTGCGGACTTTTTTGTGGCTGTTTTTTTTGTGGCTGTTTTTCTGGTGGCCTTCCTGCCTGTTCCCGGGGTTGCCGATTCCGTTGCTGCTTCCTCAATTTCCATATACGCCCTTTGCTGCATTTGCTGTAATCAGTGCTTCACATTAACAGGATCGATTCAGTTTTCAAAGTCCCTCGGAATGATCCCCGGACTGAGGGCAGGGATGCCTGATCTAGCCTGGAAAATCAGGCTTTGACAAGGGGGAGCCTCGGGGAGCCTCCCGGAATTTTTCGGGGTTTCCGCAATTTGCCGCTGGTTCAAACTGCGTGCAGGCAGAGAGATGATGAGTATCCAATCATAATGTTGCCATACGGAACACCGCCATCCGATGTCCATGTCATACCTCTGTGCCTGGCTTGACCCTTTTTCTCTGAAACTCCATAATCCGCTCCATTGTTATTCCTCTGTAGCTCAGCTGGTAGAGCAGGTGGCTGTTAACCACTTGGTCGGGGGTTCGAGTCCCTCCGGAGGAGTCTGCCGTATATATCGGTCATAGCATCATTTTCCCTATCCAGAGCTATCCGCCAGCTTAGCCGCTCCGCAGCAGATGGTCTGACACCCTCAGCCATCCCGGTCGCTGCGTGTACAGAGCGCCGGCCGGAATGGCTGACCAGCGCGCAGCCGGCGCGATGAATGAGTCCGGGTGTAAATTTTGTGTCCCTCCTGCTTATCCGGCCGCTACGCCCTTCTCGGCAGCAGCCGTCTCTGTTATGATCGGGGGGCTGCGGTGACAGATGGCCTCATCAATGGCCGGAGTCTGCGTTGCCGGAGATTTCTCAAAATATTTCTTTGTGATACGAATCCTGCCAGACAAAATAAGGAGAGATATATGTACCTTTATGAGGCTTCCCGTCCGGAATACCGGTCCTCTACCCGGTCCTCTACCCGTGCCCTCGGGCCACTGTTCTGTTTTCTGCTGCTGGTCCTGCCCTCGGCCACTCTGCTGAACTCGTGTGCCAGCCAGCCGAAAGCTGAGCCAGTCGTTCAGGAAGACGATGATTTACAGAGCCTCAAAGAACTGGAAGAAAAGGCCAGGGGCGCGATTGCCCGGGCCGAGGCCGCTGATGCAGCCAGTTACAGTCCGGAACTGCTGGATGGGGCCTACCTCGACCTGCGCAACGGCCAGGAGAAAGACCCTGCGACCGATGGGGGGGCTCAGCGCGAACAGTATCTTTCGGCCATTGACAAAGCCAATCGGGCGTATGATGAATCGGTTGCACGGGCCAGGGAGGAGTGGCTGCGGATTATCGGGCGCTACGAACAGAGCCTGGACGAACTGAATGCAGCGCTGTTCATGCCTGAATACGACACCCGTTCACGCGAAGCGTTGCAGGAGCTGCGCAACAAAATTGACGAGGGTGACAACGAGGCCTCGCTGGACCTGTATCAGTCCACCATTCCCAACGTGGACGCGGTGCTGGAAGCTCTGACAGAAAATCTGGACTGGATGGATCAACTGCGCCAGCAGGTAGCCGGTCAGCAGGGTGAAGCCAGCCGCGCGGGACTGGAGGGCGAAGCGGCCCGTCTGGAAAGCCAGGGCAGGGCTGCGTATGAGAGCGCGCTGGGACATCGTTCCCGCGGGGACTTGCATAGCATGGAGCAGGATCTGTTTGATGCCCGTTATTATCTGGGGGAAGCTCTTCGTCTTGCCGGTGCCCTGAACCCGGAGCACATTGATGCGATGATGCGCAGCGTACAGCAGCGCCTGGAAACCGCATCGCGGCGTAAGGTCATTGATCTGGAGGGCCGGGAAGTGGAGATGGTCCCCTGGAGTGGCGATGCCTGGCTGCGGGACCATCCCCTGGTCGATTTGAGCGCTCAGAGCCAGCCCTCAGACCCGCGCCGCCGGACGGCTTCCCACTTGCAGGAACCTCAGGTCAGTGCCGATTTTCTGCAACAACCCGACCTGGCTGTAGATGATGCAGTTTCGTGGTCTTTGCTCAAACCAGCGCAACTGGAATGGCTGGATGCTGCTGGCATCACCGCCGGCACGGAGCGACGGGTTCTGAATGAAACCTGGCAGCTGCATCCGGTGACCCAGCCGGCCGACTCCTATGACAACAGCAATATTTCATCGGTTCCCGGTGACCATTATGAGAGTTCCAGTTCTGCGCCACTGGATTCGGTTCATTCGCGCGAAGGCGATCCCTTTGCTGCTTTCGGCGATGATGCCGATGTCGCTCCGGAAGCGGATGTGCCACCATCCGGGAGCCCTGAGGATGAGGGCAATCCGCAAAGCAATGAACGGGAGGATTCCCCCCCGGCGCGTGCAGAGAGTAATGACGAGTATCCTGTGGCCGCTGCGGAGCAACCGCAGTATGCCAGCGATGATAGCTCCCAGCTGGGCCATGATGATCTGCTCAGCGATGCGCAGCTGCTGTTCCGGCAGGCTGTCAGAAGCTGGGAAAATGGTGTGGAGTCCCGGAACCAGAGGGACCTGCCCAGGGCCCTGCACTATTTTGAAGAAGCATCGCGCTTACTGGATCAGTACAATGTGCAGTACGCGATTCTGGGCTACTACACTGTGCGTAAGCTCAAACCGGAAGATTGTCTGTGGCGCATCGCCGGGTACTCGGATATTTACAACGACCCCGTTTCAGTGG